ATATATACACATTCTATCAATATTATCTGAGCTCATTATCTGCATTGATGACTCAGAAAGGACTAAAATTTAACTATGGATCACCCAATCAGTTGTTCTCTTTCCTTGATGGTACAGTTTCTAGCATATCTGGTTGACAAATACAGGGAAGCAACATGAGCAAGAAAAGATGTGATGGTGATCTTTGCTTGTTCATGTTCCATAGAACTCCATTGTTTTCTATTGATATCCAAAGCAAATTCTCATTCAAAAGGAAAATGTGGCCCCTTGGGGTGTCAGACCATCCCCTCTCCCCTTGCTTATCTGGCCATACACCTAACAATTCACCTTCGCCTTGCTTTGTGTCTCCATGAGCTCCTATGCTGTATATTTTCTGTGGAAAGCTGTGCTTTTGGGCCATGGTGAAGATTGTGTGTGAATGGTGTAACAAGTCACAGCCATCACACACATGGCATGTGTATTCTCTGCACATGCATAGGCTCCAGTGTCTAAGTGAAGGCCCCTTATAAAACATGAATTCAAAGTTAAAATTATTAAGAATTTCAAGTTGGCAACAGAAGGACATCAATCGAGTGCAAGGCCCCCTGTATGACTGCACAATCACTACATCCATGCAGCCGGCTCCAAGACCAGCAGGCTGATACTCTGCAATCTCTTAACAGCTGTCTGAAGAAACTGCTTCCACCCAGTTATTTCTTATTTTGATCACAGAGTTATTTCAGAAAACTTGTTGGAGCACAGCCAACCTCATAGAAAGTTGACAGTAAGACTAATCGATCGCAGGGCAACATGCACAGAAAAATGACTTAGCTGCCTGAGCCAAGGACTTCTTCACTAGAGATAAAGATTTAAGTGATTTCATATCTTGATGATTACAGCAAATTTAACCTTAGTTATTCAGGATCCTGTAACAATGATCTATATAGCTGACCCATTGTCATTTTTAGTCTTGAACAGTACAAATTCAAGTCCAAAGATCTCCGTTGTCCCTGAGGAAGCAAGATGGAACAGTGTTGGAGGGAATAGTTTAATGTCACTCCAGGGTATAAGGCACTGGGACATTATAGAAATTTCCATAGGTGCAAAATATATAAAGTCCAGAAATACATAAAGATTCCTTTTTGTGTTTTCATAGAGTTGTGATACTACCAGGCAAGGGAAAGCTGCCTAAAAATGTGAATTGTGTTAAAGAAATTTATTAATGATAATA